TGTTTTTAAATGTGCCAAAAATTGTTATCAATATTATTTCACTCTCTCAGGAAAATATGCCACTTTGATTTAAATCTTTCAGGAATTTATTATTTATTTTTGCAAATCTATAATTTAAGGTAATAAACTCATAGCTTTTATATATTTTAGTTGGATTTTCCCAAACTACATCCCATATATTTGGTTAACTGTAAGGTTTATTTATCTTAAACACTTAAGGGATGAAAATTGTTGATTTCATTGTTTATATGTTTTAAATGATATACATGTGTATTCATATATTTTTGGAGGAAAGGAAAATCTAATTCTCTTAGTTTTTGTTATTTAGTGAAATCTAATTCAGATTAAACTCACACATAACTCTAGATTTTATCCTATTGGATTATATTATTCATTCTTTTTCCTCTATAAGTTGCTGTTTTGTTTACATTTTCATAAGTCAGAGCAACCATCACCTTTTCTCCGGCTTAATCAGAACCTCAGACATTCATGGCACAGGGACAAAGCAACATACCACAAAATCATGAAGAGATTAAGCTAATCTCTCCGAGTGCCCGCTGTGGAAATAGAGAATTTTGTTTGTGACTAAAACCTGTGCGCATTTTACTGTGTCAGCCCATGTTTGGACCCGTTTCTCTCTCTGGATTTGCCTAAGTTTTCATCTCCAGGTCCGTCCATAACATTATGGAACATGGTGACAGCAGGAAATGAACAAAACGAGATCCGTCCTGTTTTTAAACAACCACAGGCCTGATAATAAACGTTTTGTTTTCCAGTCCTGAAGCCGACATAGGAAAAGACAGTTGCTGCTGAATTTTTCTCTTTTCAAAGATAATTTTTGGTTTAGATACTTAAGGTTGATTCTAATTTGATCAAAAATTACTCTAAAACAATCATGGTTTAGTGAAAGCCAACCAAGCCGTTCATTATCACCCTCATTAGACATTTTCCCACTGATTCATGTCAAGAAAGTCAGTCTGTCAGCAAGCATTTTCTTCATTGCAAGATGCAGAAAGGAATCTAATAAGAGAAAGTTATCAAACTTTTCTTGAATAGTTGGAAGTCTATGGAAATAGAATATGAAATAAAAGAAAAGAAAAAAAAGAAAATATATAATCGATCACTTTAGCCTTCACTGATTTCTGCCACCAGGCATTTCAGTCCTGGAGCTCCACCACCTCAGTCCAAAAAGGTCAGCCACTCCTCAAACAAAAAAAAAATTATTAAAAAAATAATTTAGCACCGGAGAAAACGAAAGCCTTATGTTGGTGCACCTCCCCCTTGTTTCCCCACAAAAAAAAAATTCCCCAATGTCTCTGTCCTCATGGTTTTTTGCACACACACACATTGTGGAGCAGGTTGCAGCTCAGGTGAGCTACATGTATTTTGGGTCAGGGGTTCAGAGCAGATGAAAATCCTTTTGTGTTGCTTTCCCCAGATTTTAACCCATCATTTCCATCCGGTGGTTTTGGTGTGTTTACAGGATGTGTGTTACGAAGTATGCAGCTTTTCTCTGTTTTTATTTGAGTATCTTCTTCTGTTAACCACTGGTGATGCAACAGGTCCTCCACGGTGGGGCGCTCTTTGGGTCTATTGCCAGGCACTTGGTTAGAAATTCTCTGCATGTTTCGGAGAGACTTGTGTTGATCTTTAGTTAATTTGAAAGATATTTCCTGGTAATGAACTGCTCTTGGTGCAGAATCTCATACAGAACCAAGCCCACCTGCCACACAGTTGTAGGTCCAGCAGTGTAAAACCCTTGTGTTTTAAATTCAGGTGGTATATGGCAAAAAGTACCAGCGAAAATCCTAAAGTGTCCTCCCTTGACAAAGCAACTTAGACCAAAGTCTATGAGATAAAGTTTTGGGACTTTTGACCTGGTCTCTATCAAGATGTTTGAAGGTTTAATGTCTCTGTGGAAGAATTTTGCCTTCTGAAGGTAAATTATTGATTTTAGCCGCTGTTTTATTATGATCTTGGCATTCTTCATCATTATGCGACCCCTTGTGGTTTTGGTGTGTTTACTGGATGTGTGTTATGAAATAGGCAGCTATTCTCTGTTTATATTTGACCTGGTCTCTATCAAGATGTTCGAAGGTTTAATGTCTCTGTGAAAGATTGTTGCCTTCTGCAGGTAAATTATTGCCTTTAGCAGCTGTTTTATCAGGATCTTGGCATTCTTCATCTTTTTTTTACCCTTGTGGTTTTGGTGTGTTTACGGAATGTGTGTTACGAAGTATGCAGCTGTTCTCTGTTTATATTTGAGTATCTTCTTCCGTTAACCACTGGTGATGCAACAGGTCCTCCACGGTGGGGCGCTCTTTTGGGTTAATTGCCAGGCACTTGGTTAGAAATTCTCTGCATGTTTCGGAGAGACTTGTGTTGATCTTTAACTCATTTGACAGATATTTCCCGGTAACGAACTGCTCTTGGTGCAGAATCTCATACAGAACCAAGCCCACCTGCCACACAGTTGTAGGTCCAGCAGTGTAAAACCCTTGTGTTTTAAATTCAGGTGGTATATGGCAAAAAGTACCAGCAAAAATCCTAAAGTGTCCTCCCTTGACAAAGCAACTTAGACCAAAGTCTATGAGATAAAGTTTTGGGACTTTTGACCTGGTCTCTATCAAGATGTTCAAAGGTTTAATGTCTCTGTGGAAGATTTTTGCCTTCTGAAGGTAAGTTATTGTTTTTAGAAGCTGTTTTATCATGATCTTGGCATCGTTCATCGTTATGCGACCCTTGTGGTTTTTAATGTAGTTAAAAAGGTCCTCAGCAGGCATGGGTCTCTCCATAACTACAATCAGCTCCTCACCCATATCAGACCAGTCTAGGATGGGAAGTATAGCTGACTGCCCCGGTGATCTGGTTGTTTTAGCCCTAAGCTTTAACATGATAGCCACCTCCAATGGTATCTGCTTTCCTTTTTTTTCCTTATGCATTAAGATGTAATATGTTTTTTGGATGTGTTTAATGGCTACAGGTAATTCATCATACACCCGATAACCAGCAAAAACAGATCCATAGCTTCCTTCTCCAAGCTTTCTTAGCTCAACATATTTTTCCCTAAATTTGGCTCTAACGTAATCGCCTCTTTCCTCATTGTTATTCTCTGTCTTTAATCTTTTCTCATTCTGTGACTCTAGAAAGTCCCCTGCCTTTCTCTTTAGACTCCTTTTCTTTAAATCTCGTTTTTCTGTTGAGTTATCACCCAGACAGGAGCTGCTGGGTGCTGGGGGACAGACAATAGCGGTAGAAGGGGATTCTTTAGTCAATACCAGTTCTTGGAGTCCTTTTATCTTTTTGGCTGGCAGTGGTTCTCCTTGTTCAAACATTTTCCTCTTTTCTTTTCTCACCGTACTGAACTGGTCCTGGTAGCTTGTGGAAGGTCCGTAACCCTCAGAGACCATAAACCTCTTTCTGGGGGTTTCATCTGTGGTGCTGTTTTTTCGTTTCCTTGGACTTTCCAGTGTCATTCTGCTGTTCTCTTGATATCTCATGAGGGCTAAAGTTTTACAAATGTCTGCAGAATCTGTAGAACCTTGTCTTTCATATATTTTTGCCATTTTCAGTTTACCTTCAAACGACAGCAGTTTGAACACTCATAACTTGTGTTAAGCCTGTGTTCAACTGGGAGGGTCTCGGAATTCTGACACTACTATGACATCACAGGCTGTCTAGATTCTAGATCATGTCAATCAAAGAAGAGTGACATAATCTAGAACATTCTAAATGTCTCAAAGATAGAGTTGCCTAGCAACCACATAAATATGGACTTAGAGTTAGTCTTGACCAACAGAACATGACCAGAAAATCAAATCAATAATTCAACACAGGGCTTGGTGTTGATTTCCTCCAGGAAATACTTAGTTTGAGATGTAAATTGTAAATATTTGTCCAGGAGAATTATTTGAACTATTTTTGATTTCCTGAGCAAAACCTCAAGGGAAAAGAAAATGTTAATTTTCTGTCACAGTTTAAAACAGATTCAGAGTTTAGTTTAGCTTTATAGTACCAATTTAGAGCACATTAGCCGAGTCATTTACAAGGTATTGACATTTACAGAGTCACTTCAATCAAATCATACATAGAGATTGATTGAATATTTCCTATTCTGAATAATTCCTTTTTTTGTTTCATTGATTGTTTTTGTATGAGATTTTCCTGGGTGCTATATTTTCTTTTTTTTTTCTTGCATAAAAGGCAAAAACTACAAATCTGCAATCTAGCTAATGTAAGTTTCAATTCAATCAATCTAATTTATTTATGTAGCACATTTATATAGCACATTTAAAAAGCAAAAAGGTCCTCCACGGTGGGGCACTCTTTTGGGTCTATTGCCAGGCACTTGGTTAGAAATTCTCTGCATGTTTCGGAGAGACTTGTGTTGATCTTTAGCTCATTTGAAAAAAATATTTCCTGGTAACGAACTGCTCTTGATGCAGAATCTCATACAGAACTAAGCCCACCTGCCACACAGTTGTAGGTCCAGCAGTGTAAAACCCTTGTGTTTTAAATTCAGGTGGTATATGGCAAAAAGTACCAGCGAAAATCCTAAAGTGTCCTCCCTTGACAAAGCAACTTAGACCAAAGTCTATGAGATAAAGTTTTGGGACTTTTGACCTGGTCTCTATCAAGATGTTTGAAGGTTTAATGTCTCTGTGGAAGAATTTTGCCTTCTGAAGGTAAGTTATTGATTTTAGCAGCTGTTTTATTATGATCTTGGCATTCTTCATCATTATGCGACCCTTGTGATTTTGGTGTGTTTACTGGATGTGTGTTACGAAATATTCAGCTATTCTCTGTTTATATTTGACCTGGTCTCTCTCAAGATGTTCGAAGGTTTAATGTCTCTGTGGAAGATTGTTGCCTTCTGCAGATAAATTATTGCCTTTAGCAGCTGTTTTATCGGGATCTTGGCATTCTTCATCTTTTTTTGACCCTTGTGGTTTTGGTGTGTTTACGGGATGTGTGTTACGAAGTATGCAGTTGTTCTCTGTTTATATTTGAGTATCTTCTTCCGTTAACCACTGGTGATGCAACAGGTCCTCCACGGTGGGGCGCTCTTTTGGGTCTATTGCCAGGCACTTGGTTAGAAATTCTCTGCATGTTTCGGAGAGACTTGTGTTGATCTTTAGCTCATTTGACAGATATTTCCTGGTAACAAACTGCTCTTGGTGCAGAATCTCATACAGAACCAAGCCCACCTGCCACACAGTTGTAGGTCCAGCAGTGTAAAACCCTTGTGTTTTAAATTCAGGTGGTATATGGCAAAAAGTACCAGCAAAAATCCTAAAGTGTCCTCCCTTGACAAAGCAACTTAGACCAAAGTCTATGAGATAAAGTTTTGGGACTTTTGACCTGGTCTCTATCAAGATGTTCAAAGGTTTAATGTCTCTGTGGAAGATTTTTGCCTTCTGAAGGTAAGTTATTGTTTTTAGCAGCTGTTTTATCATGATCTTGGCATCGTTCATCGTTATGCGACCCTTGTGGTTTTTAATGTAGTTAAAAAGGTCCTCAGCAGGCATGGGTCTCTCCATAACTACAATCAGCTCCTCACCCATATCAGACCAGTCTAGGATGGACAGTATAGCTGACTGCCCCGGTGATCTGGTTGTTTTAGCCCTAAGCTTTAACATGATAGCCACCTCCAATGGTATCTGCTTTCCTTTTTTTTCCTTAGGCATTAAGATGTCATGTGTTTTTTGGATGTGTTTAATGGCTACAGGTAATTCATCATACACCCGATAACCAGCAAAAACAGATCCATAGCTTCCTTCTCCAAGCTTTCTTAGCTCAACATATTTTTCCCTAAATTTGGCTCTAACGTAATCGCCTCTTTCCTCATTGTTATTCTCTGTCTTTAATCTCTTCTCATTCTGTGACTCTAGAAAGTCCCCTGCCTTTCTCTTTAGACTCCTTTTCTTTAAACCTTGTTTTTCTGTTGAGTTATCAATCAGACAGGAGCTGCTGGGTGCTGGGGGACAGACAATAGCGGTAGAAGGAGATTCTTTAGTCACGACCAGTTCTTGGAGTCCTTTTATCTTTTTGGCTGGCAGTGGTTCTCCTTGTTCAAACATTTTCCTCTTTTCTTTTCTAACCGTACTGAACTGGTCCTGGTAGCTTGTGGAAGGTCCGTAACCCTCAGAGACCATAAACCTCTTTCTGGGGGTTTCATCTGTGGTGCTGTTTTTTCGTTTCCTTGGACTTTCCAGTGTCATTCTGCTGTTCTCTTGATATCTCATGAGGGCTAAAGTTTTACAAATGTCTGCAGAATCTGTAGAACCTTGTCTTTCGTATATTTTTGCCATTTTCAGTTTACCTTCAAACGACAGCAGTTTGAATACTCCTAACTTGTGTTAAGCCTGTGTTCAACTGGGAGGGTCTCGGAATTCTGACCTCACTATGACATCATAGGCTGTCTAGATTCTAGATGATGTCAATCAAAGAAGAGTGACAATCTAGAACATTCTAAATGTCTCAAAGGTAGAGTTGCCTAGCAACCACATAAATATGGACTTAGAGTTAGTCTTGACCTACAGAACATGACCAGAAAATCAAATCAATAATTCAACACAGGGCTTGGTGTTGATTTCCTCCAGGAAATACTTAGTTTGAGATGTAAATTGTAAATATTTGTCCAGGAGAATTATTTGAACTATTTTTGATTTCCTGAGTAAAAAAAAAACCAAGCCCACCTGCCACACAGTTGTAGGTCCAGCAGTGTAAAACCCTTGTGTTTTAAATTCAGATGGTATATGGCAAAAAGTACCAGCGAAAATCCTAAAGTGTCCTCCCTTGACAAAGCAACTTAGACCAAAGTCTATGTGATAAAGTTTTGGGACTCGATAAATGTTTACCATTATTGAAATGTTAGACATCTTTTGAAAGCTTAGATTCTCCACAATTCAACTACCAAGTTCATTTTGTAAACACAGCGATCGCCAAAGCACAATTAACACAGATATAGCAGCATCTCAAAATGTAAACAAACAATGCAGCCACAACTACATACTTTTGAAGGCATCCAGAAGCCAATTTATAAATCAAATCTTCAATTGTTTATAGTCCATTCATCCATAAGGGTCAACAGATTAAAAGTAATCCAGCATATTCATAATAAAAATATTCCATGATGAGAAAATCGCCCATAACATCTGGTTGGTGACATCAGAAAAGTTGGCTGGTCATAGCTAATGCTCTGAATTTTGATAATATTTACTTCCTAATACTTATTTCCTCGGTTTTTAGCTGCAATGTTTGGTCTGGTTATTTACATTGTCTTCTTACCTACAAGACAAAAGTGTCAGCATCTTTTTATGATGTGATTTTGAGCCAGATCTGAAATCTCACTTCCCGTCACTTCCTCTCAGCCCTTACCTCATAGAGTCCTGCTGTTATTGGTTAAGACCACAAGGCCTGTTGGGCTTTGTAGCCAATGAAATAAGGTTTCAAATAAGCCTAGGATAAATAAGGGGGAGCCACGTTACTGGCTTGCCTTAGAGAGAGATAGACAGCTGCGGCTGGATCAATGCACGCAGCTTCAAGCTGAGTTATAACAGCGGTCCTATTTTTTTTTTTAAGTTTGGATGCTGATTTTGTTTTATTACAATGCCTTAGGCTGAAAAATAAAATACAGCTCAGAAAATGCACTGGGGCTTATTTTATTTTTCACTATCTTTTATAGGTTTTTATGTTATTATAGGTGTACAATTCTACATTTTGTAATATACACTGATTCTGAAAACAAGTGGAAAGTACTTGCTTCATAAATGTTTAATGCCATCAAAATGCTTTAGTGTTACTCTATGGGTCAAATAGTAAAACAAAGTATAGTAAAAGCATTTGGCACATTTAGAGATTTTTGGAGACTCCGGTGACACCAAAAGTTGAAAGCCCCACAGCTCTGGAACTGTTATAGCTACAAGTCTGAAATTTTCTGCATTTGTGGTTGATATTATGTAGAGCTAATTTATTTTATTTATTTATTCGTTTATTTGATAGGGACAATTATGTTTCATGCATCATGTCACACACTACAACATTTTAGCTAGGGCTAATTCTCAATGTCTGTCCCCAGTTAGGCTTTTACACAAAACACAGTGACTGTACACAAGAACAACAGAGCAAATTACACATTAAAACATCACAGAAATAAAATCAGGTCAGTTAGATTATTAATGTTCACATGACTGACCTCTCAATAAAAAGTCTTTAAGTTTATGTTTAAAAAGGACCCAGTTTGACTTTCCCTTCAGTTCTGCAGGTAATGTGTTCCATGTTTTGGTGCCTTGTACAATGAAAGCTGATTGACCAAAAGAGGTTTTGCGTCTGGGTACTTGACAGTTTCCACTGTGGGCTCCTCTTGTGACTGAGCCCACAGCTCTGAGAGGAACTACACATTCACTCAAAACCTTAGGGGCCTTATCATGCAAGCATTTATATACCAGTTTTAACTGAGCAAATTTCACAAAGTTTTCGAAATTCAGCATTTTTAAATTGTTCAAACTAACACAGTGATGGGACCTGATTGGTTTTTTATCTAAGATTTTTATAGCTCTATTATAGATCATCTGAAGAGGCTTGATAGTAGTGCTTTTGGCCTGTGACCAAGAACTAATGCAGTAACTTAGATGGGAAAAGATCATGGAGTGCACAAAACTGTGAGCAGCGTGAAACGGTAGGGAATCTCTAATCAGTTTGAATGTGTACAAGTTTGCTTTTGTTACTCTGGACACTTTTTTTACATGGCTGTCAAATTTCAATTGTGAGTCAAGTATTAGTCCTAGATACTTGATTTCTGAGACCTGCTGGATTCTAGCTCCATTTATCTGTAAATTTAGGTCTTGAGATATGAGCTTGGTCCTAGAAGAGAAACAGACAGACAGTTTTTTTTTAACATTCAGAGACAACCCTGCATTATGGAACCACACTGACACAGTTTGTAGATGTCCTGACAGTTCATTAGAAACTGCTTCCACAGTCTTTCCACGAACATAAATTACTGCATCGTCTGCATATAACTGAAAACCTGCTGTTGGACAAGACTCTGGCAAGTCATTAATGTATAATGTAAATAGTAGAGGGCCAAGGATGGATCCCTGTGGCACTCCTGTATTTATCTTTAAAAATGATGATTTTTCATTGTTTATTGTGACACACTGCTCTCTTCCTTCTAAGTATGATTCAAACCACTGTAAAGTTTTCGGTGAAAATTTTAATTTGGATAATTTTGCAATTAGAATTTTATGATTTAACGTATCAAATGCCTTTTTGAGATCCAAGAAGACTGCGCCTACTATTTCCCCGCTGTCTATTGCCAACTTTATTTGTTCAACAAAATGACAGTTTGCTGTATCTGTAGAATAATGAGGTCGGAAGCCAAACTGTAAAGGATGTAAGATTTTATGATACTGTATGTATGCCATTAACTGATTGGAGACAATTTTTTCTAACACCTTAGAAAATACAGGCAGGATGCTTATAGGCCGATAGTTACAGCCCTGGTCTTGGGATCCTGACCTAAAGATAGGCATAACTCTAGCCTGTTTCCAGGGTGCAGGGAATTGCCCGCTCTCAATGGACAAATGAATTACATGCGTTAGAGGTTTTATGAGTGCATTTTTGTTTCGCTTTACGAAAGCAGTATTAATGTGGGAGAGATCCATGCAATTGCTTTGTTTAATTGTATTTATGGCATCAAGCACAGTAGATTCACTAGTCTGCTCTATGGAGAATGTTGTGCCTGATGTAACCTGTTGTTGAATTGGTCTTGTAAGGTTTCCAAAATCAAACTGTTGGACCAGCTCCTCCACAGATGACACAAAATAATTATTAAATTCCTAATGTAATAAGACCTGCCTTTTCTCAAACATTTCTTTATTACTGCTGTTCAAAAAAGACCTATCATTTTCGAGAATAAAACAACTTTGAGTCATGGTTGAACTGATGCAGCTTGGTCTGTGTTCTGCTCACCCAATTTTCATTCACATCTAATTTGGGCTTACAGTTCCTAAGTCATTTTCTTTTCCATTTGGGTTTGCAATATAGGCGAGAATTTCCCAAAATGAGGTGGATGTTAGTTCTCTCACCCATATATACTCCTCCTCTGTAGTTACTTGGTGCTGGAATCTCTTCATCCTTTATGTGTGTTTCTCCCGCGTGTCTCCTAGTTTTGGAACCGGAGTTCCTAGCCTGTATTTTCTGAATTTATGCCTCTGTTACGATTTTGCTCTTCATTAAACCTGCAAGAAAAAATTTCTGCCTTGTGCTCTGCAGTTAGGTCTTCTAAAAACATCCACTAACCCCGACAGTGACACTTTGAACAAAATGTAAAAAAAAATGTAAAAAAAAAAAAAAAAAAATATATATATATATATATATATATATATATATATATATATATATATATATATATATATATATATATATATATATATATATATATATATAAATGTGTGTGAATTCAGCTCATTCAGATGCTTTATTTAATGTTTGATTTTATGGTAATCACACCCTTGATCATTTTTAAATTCCAGCTTTTTGTATAAAAAAATTTCCTGTTTCCTGTTACACATCTTTTAAGTGTATCTGCAAGTGGAATGAAGACATTTTCTATAACCACAAATTGTAAAGGACTGCCATTTAAGGCTTTGAAAAAAATACAACCATAATACTTGGACTTGAGATTGTTTAAATTCCAAAAAAGGAAGATTTATAATTTATTCTCCACTTAGCAGAGTTCAAGATAACATACAAGGTTTCCAATGTTTAAATGCACACCTTGTAAAATGTGTTTAAACTCCTGCCTGCTTACCTCCCAGGGGAACATGTAATATAAAAATCACTTCAACAGAAAAAAAAGGAATAGGTATGGTTCTTACTGAGCAACAGCTCCAGTACAAAGTACCACAAAGCAGTTACACTTCTAAGGCTTCAAAAGGCTGCAGAGTGATTCATACTTGTTTGATAAATAAAAATTCTGTTAAATCTAAAATAATATATATAATATTATGTAAAATCAATTTCCCTATAACTCACGTCATTGGGAATTCTGAAAAGGAATGTTTACAGTGCTGGATCTTCAGGTGAAAACTATTATCAATATAGTCGCATTTCAGACCTAAGTGGCAAAAAAAAAGGAAACAATTCTGGTTTAAAATCTTTACACTAAAATATTCAATTAATTTCAAAATGTTATAATAAATTAAAATTACACCATTCTCCATCAGAAGTATTAATAAAA